CAGAACCCACATAAGTGTCGGGTGGCGTAGTGGTTTGCCTATAATTCCAGACTCAAAAGGTGGGGGACAGGGCATCCCCAGAGCAAGCTGGTCAGGGAGATGAGCCATTTTGGTGAGATCTTCCCTCAATGAACAAGATGGAAGAACAATCAAGGGTGATTCTGGAAATCAACCTCAGGCTTCCACATGCAACAAAATTGGATAAAGAAAATAATTAAATGTGTGTGGGGCAGTAAAGGGGGTATAGTTGAAGGGGCAAAGTCACACTCCCTCTTCTCCACCCATGTCCAAGGCATGTGGAAGACCCCTGGAGGTTTTTTTTTTTTAATCATCCCACATCACCATGATCCGGAGGCCTGGCCTTGTCCCTCATGAGCACAGAATCCAAAGGATCAGGATCTATGGATACTGCCTCTGCCTTAACTCCCACTTGGAGCAGTGGGCGTGTCACTCACAGGCCAAGTGACTGACTAAACCCTCCAAGCAATGGCTCTGGCATTAAAACACTGTGGTGTAACCACTAAGTAAGGACTTTGGATCAAACAGGTCCAAGTTCAAATCCTGGCTCAAAAGATTTGAAGTTGTCTACCCCTGAACCAACACTGTGAGGGGCCTTTCCCCCTATACTAGGAGACATGGAAGCCTGAGGGCTCTGTCAGCCTGGTGGTCCCCTGCTCCTGTATCCAGAGCCTCCTGTCACCTGAGCCTTCCTGTCACCCTCAGCCACTTCCATGCCAGAGGGACCGTGAAGTACTTAGCTTTCCCTTATTTCTTCAGGGAACCCGGAGGCCACATGACCCTATGACTCAGAACTGCTAATTGGGCTTGGCCGATGTAGTGCTAGCTCTGAGTGGGCCTCTGAAATGAGTGCTGATGTCCACTGGCACTATGGAGAGGGGGTGCCCCTGCCTGACTCAGCTCACACACAGTGTGGACTCAGTGTGGAAGAAGCACCCCACTTCTTTCTCAGCCGTAATTAGCTCAGGACTCCCACACAGGAGTCATAAAGACCCTTTTTGCGGGTATCATCTTTTTAAAATTCTGTTTTTCTGTGTGTGTATGTGTACGATACGTGTGGGAGTGCACACATGCCATAGCACATGTGTAGAGGTCAAAGTCAGTTCTCTCCACTATAATGTATGTTTAGTGGATCAAGCTCAGGTCGTCAGGCTCATATACATATGCCTTTACACCCACCGAGCCATCTCACTAGCCTTCCATCTTGTTCTGATGAGCACAATGTTGACACATTCCACAGATAAGGAGACTGAGGTCAGAGAGGTTGTGCGACACGTAGGGTCCTGCTATGCCCAAACAAGCTGGCACCACAACTCAACAAGTAGGTCTGTGTGGATCTCAAGCCCCCGTGGTTCCTTCGATCTCATCAGAGTGTCAGACAGCCCTGCCTGTGTAGGTCTTGTCTGTGCTATTCCCATTTTACAGATGGATAACTGGGGCCTAGATAGCTAGAAATAAAACCTTAATGTCAAATGTTTGATGAAGTGGCAGGTACTCTGCTGGCTTCCGTACAGTCTCAATTCTGTCTGCATCGAGAGTCAGCGTGGTGGAAGGGTCACCAGGGTAGGATCAAGGCTGGGGTTGCCCTGGATTGACACAACAAGCATATAGGAGGCCTAGCTAGATGCCAAGTAGAAAGTACTGGGAGCTAGGCTGTCTGGCTCTGCTGGGCAGGCAGGAGCCATGTAGGGTTCAAAAGGAGGGGAGGAGGGAAGACAGGCTTGCCCTGCCCACCCCAGCCCGCTCCCAGCCCTAGCCCTGCCTCTGAACTACCCAGAACTTCCTCCCTCCCAGGTTGGGGACATGTGGTCGCTGAGGTCAGGTCTTTGTTTGAAGGACAGATAATTAATTCCACAAAGTAATCCCAGCACACTCTGGCAGATTTATGGAGATCGCCTCAGTCCTAGGAACATGGTTGGATCATCTTTCATCTCCCCACAAAGCGAGTGACTTGCTAGAGCACGGGCCCTGGACATGGAGAGTTCATTTAGGGGAGTCCTCCTGTCCGCTGGGGAGATTGATTGCCAGGCTAGTAGAGGCCTGGGTGGGAGGAGGGAGGAACAGGCTTGTGGCTTCTTTTCTCCTCTGGTCCTTCTCCATCTCCCTCCCAATACTACCACAGTCACCCAGCTAGCATCCCATCCAGCTCTCCCAAGTCACAGGCAGGAGAGCAGGGCCAAGGAGTAGCCTGCTTCCCAGCTGGACACTTTGTTATTTTTCCCCTCTCCACTGCCCACCTGCTCCATAGGTGAAGCTCCCAGAGCCCCATGCAGTCCTCAGGTAGATGGGAGAGGTTGCCAGGGTTGCCAGCTGGCCCTCTAAACCCAAGGAAGGGAGGACACAGCCCTGGGGACCAGGACAATTGCCTCTGGTTTGTGGACTCTGCCACTAGCTTGCTGAGCGCTTGGGGGGGTACTGTGGTCATCCTTTGTAACACCACAGACTCGTGTGTGTGTGTGTGTGTGTGTGTGTGTGTGTTTGCTGGGGATTGAACCCAGGGCCCTGGGAATGCTAGGCAGGTATTCCACTGCTGAGCTACATCCCCCAGCCCTTGTTATTTTTGAGACAAAGTCTCACTGTATGGTCTAGAACTAGAGATCTCCCTATCTCAGCTGGGATTACAGGTATGTGCCACCATCCCCCACTTGTTGGCTGCTTTGCTATAGGGATTCATCAGGCACCCGATGAGCCAGCTGCTGAAGACATGGCTGTGAGCAAGCAGGCAAAGCTGTCATCTATGAACTGAGAGTCTAGAGAGGGAAACAAACGGGCAGATTGATAGGTGAGATAATTTGAGATAGCAACAACCCATGGGGAAATAAAATGGGGTGTGGTGGAGAATGGGGGAGCTGGGCTGCTTCATTGGAGCACTTAGAGTGGTCCTCTGTGACATGGTAACATTTGAATGATAGTAGAAAGAGCCAGCCATAGGAAACTATGGAAGGAAGGCGTTCCAAACAGAAGAAATAGCATGTGCAAAGGCCCTGAAAAACAGAACATACTTATGAATCATTGGAAAAAGAGGTCGAATAAGGCTGGGGACTGGTCACTTAGGGTCCTGCAGGCCAGGAGGACTTGAAATTTTATTCCATTGACACAAGGAAGATATGACAGAGGGGGATCTTAAAAGATTCCTGAAAGAACTGCTCAGTGGAAAACTGGCTAGACTAGGGTGCTGCAGGGAACACTGAGCGGTCCCACGGGTGGCCAGAAGAGACCATGCCCAGTGTCCCTCATGCCAACCTCAAGTTCCATCTGTCTGTATAGCTCTTCTAGCTGCTTCAGTGGCCCCTTTCCCCTCTTTGACACACCTCACTCTCAAGGGGCAGTGTGGCCTGGAGGTGGGGGTAGTAGGCAGCACCAAAGGGTGCTGTACCTCAGTGTGCAGAGTGAGCACAAGGGCAACAGGCATGCCAGCAGGCAGGCACCAGTGTAACCCTCCACAACTTGGCGGCCCTATCACCCAGGCCATGCATGGTAAATAGAGCTGACTCTTTCCTTTGGCCCTAAGCCAGCCCCTGGTAATTGAACCACAAGTCATCTTCCAACTTCCACAAACAGGGCTGCCACAGCTGGCACTGTCCTGACTGGGTGCTGTGTCCAGGCAGAAGTGTATGGAGGAGCTGTAGAGCCCAGCTGCCTCACCTACCTCCCTTGGCTGGTGTAACATGGGGTTGGACTCTGCCAAAGTTTCCTAGGCAAGCCAGGTGCAGACTGCCTCTTTTCTGTGGGCAGTAAGTCTAGGGCTTACAAAGCAACCCAAAGATGCCGTCTGTTCCCAGCAGTAGCCTTTGAGCCCCTTCCCCTCCAGGGGTGTCTATTCACAAAGCTTATAGTGGGGTGCTCTTGGGCCCCATGCTAAGGAGTTGTTCAGAGAACTGCCCTCCTGACAAGAAGCCAGGCTCTGTAGCCCACACCAAAAGAAGGAGGCAGGCTGGAGCCCCTGGCATTGGGAAGGACCCCAGGCCTTGAACTCTGTCCCCAGGCCCTTCTTTGTCGAGTGACCAGAGACTTTGGGAAGATTCTGGTTTTGGCTGGTGAGGCTCATCCCCCACCAAAAATAGAAGGACTGCTCACTGGACCAGTTTCTGCTGGCTCAGCAGAAGTTATCCACCAAGAGATGAACGAGCCAGGGGTGGGAGCATCTTGGGACACCCGTCCCTCCCTGTCTGGCTGGTCTCATTCATCAAGCATTCTCCAAACGTCTCTTTGGCCTGAGGCACTGGGCCAGGGGCTTGGGACATCATGTGACATCTAGATCCAAGGCAACCACAGGCAGGATGAGGGTCAGAGCTGCTAAGACCAAGTGCTGTCCCCTTATGCCATCTAGTCAAGCCCAGGGCCCCCTGCCCCATGCTCATCACAGCAGGCTGAACTCAGTGGGGAATGTAGAATATTAAATGCCCTGAGATGCCCTCCTATGCGCCACTGGTGACGTGCAGACAGTGCCAGGCTGACTTCCGATTCTTTTTCACTCTTCGGTTCTTTAAGCAATGAAATATGGCAAGTGTTGAAGATCTGCTTTGTTTGTGTGAGTCTGTGCTCCGAGGTCTTCTCTAGGAACTGAGAGGGAAGCTATGACACTCACATGGACCCTGCCATGAACAGGGACCCTATCTAAGGGCACAGGGAGGAGTCACCCACTCTGAGTGGTAGGGTGTTGTGACTGCTTGCATTTTGGTTTTGATACTTCATCTATAGTATCAAAGATGAGGGGTCAGTATGTAGCTCAGTTGGTAGAGTGCTTGCCTAGCATGCATGAAGCCCCAGGTTTGATCCCCAGTACCACATAAAATAGGTGTGGTTTTGCACACCTATAATCCCAGCACAAAAGAGGTAGAGGCACAAGGAGCACAAGAGTTCTTGGCTACATATTGAGTTTGGGACCAGCCCAGACTATATGAGACAATGTTTCAAAAATATAATAATAATGATGAACTGGAATTTGGTCTGATTACACCATTAAAAAATTCAGTGGTAACACACTGCCTTTGAGCCCCCGCCGTGCCTCCTCATGGTGCCGGGGGGTTAAGCTGCAGCGCCATAGCACATTGCTCGTGCATAACTGGGGCCGCCTGCCCATCACTGGTGGCCCTTTTAACCACCAGCTACAGGGGCACGGGCGGGTCCAGGGCAGGTAGTTTCCATGCCAGGCACCCAAGACTCGAGCGGCCTGGGGGTAGCCAATGCCTGCAAAAAAAAAATAATAATAAAATAAAATAAAATAAAATAATAAATAAATAAAATAATAAATAAATAAATAAATTTAGTGGTGGGGAACTTTAAAATAAGTAAGACTGGTAATCATGGACACTAACGCAGTAGGCTCATAGGGCTTCACTGTTCTTGCCTTTATATGTTTCCATTCTTGGAAGTTTCTATGAGAAAACATTTTTCTGTGTCGGGGGGGGGGTCCCCAAAATTTCCAGAGGACTCATCCCAAGTCTGGAAATCACACATGACTCACAGCCTGGCCAGACACTCAAACTTGAACTGCACTGAGACCTACCCACATCAGCCCAGCTCAGCTTCTGTTTTGCTGTGGGGCTCTGACCAAGTTACTTCCCACATCTGATCTGCAAAAAGTCTGGACACTAAATGCCCATCTGTTGCTACCTCTTACACATGTGGATGTAAGGTGCTCAGACACCCATCTAGAGTGGGGTTGTAGGAACAGCCCCTTATGTCTTCAGTCTGTTCAGCGAACTTCCCAGGCTGAAAGGGTCTAGACTTGCCCAAAGATTCTGTGGCCTGTTAAGTTGGAAAAACATTGACTCCTCGTGACCTTATAGAAACACCTGTCAGCTCACTCAAGGTTCTGACAAGTCCTGCAGTGAATGCACCTGCTCAGCATTCCCTAACCCTGACCCCAGGATTTTTACATGGCTGGCTTTACCTAAGCTTCCCAGTGTCTGAGTTCTGGGGAACCCCCAGCCTTCCTGATTTTAGACAGGGGCTCCTCCTGGAGGACAAATTCATCTTTTCTTGTTAGTATAAAGATTCTGACTCATCATTAGAAGAACCCAAGACCTTTGATGTTTATCCCATTGCTGGGTGGGTCTGGACGTCACTCAATGTGCTGTTTTTCCCTCCGTCATTCTGGGCCATAAGTGTTCCCTTTGATGTTATGCTGTGAGTCACTAACCAGATCCAGAACACACATGCATGTGCACTCAGGCACACACACACACACACACACACACACACACACACACACATCAGGAAATGGGACCTAGCCCAATCTGTGTTCCTTCTGGTTCAGATCTGAGAAGCAGCATCTCCTGGAGAAATAGGAGGAATGCGGCCTTTGCAGCAAAGGCTCTGGGTTCAAATCTCAGCTCTCCAGAAAAACATATGAAGCAGGAAGTTTCCTTCACCAATGATTAATCAACACAGTGTGTCATTTCCTTCCTTCTCCTAAGTAACTTAAAATAATGGTCAACATGTATTGGAAATTTCCTCTGTGCTGCATGCTGTGCTGAGCTGGCCAGCTGTATTACCCATTCTAATCCTCCCATTAGTCCCAGGAGATAAGAATTGGCCTTCCTCTTCAACATTCAAGGAAACTGAAGCCCATAGACAGTAGGTCACTGACCCACAGTCACAGAGCTAGTGAGGACTGATGTTGGGTTTTGAACCGTGGTCCCAGCTATCACAACATCAGCCCTTTTCAGAAGATTAGATCCTGCTGTGGCCATGTTGATCCTCTGACCCTCAGGTGCCTCACTCACCTGGCCAGGGTTTCCTGGTCCTAGTGGGGATGGGCAGCATGAAGACAGGCCCTGTGGGTTCTTGAGTGCTGGAACCCACCATGACAGGTTAGAACCAGAAGAGTCCTGGGGGCGGGGGGTGCTCCTGGTATACTTGAGATTATTGGGTGCCAGCATACTGGTCTTCTGATGAGGGGGGGAGGAAGAGGGTGGGTTTTTGAGAGAGAGAGAGAGAGAGAGAGAGAGAGAGAGAGAGAGAGAATTTACTGAATGACCCCTGCCACTGAAAAGCCCCTCTTTTACAATAGAGGAGGGTCCTGAGAGAAATCTAGTGACTTGCCCAGGGTCACCAGCTGTCCTCTGAGCCCCAGGCAGACCTCTTTTCCTCCCTTCAGGCCTCAAGCAGGGCCCAGGCTGAGGAGGCTCTGAAGCCCCTTAAAGCCCCTCAAGGTCAGCCTCTGGCCGCTGGTGGCCTCAGTCTATGAAGATAACTGTTTCTGAAGCTGGCTCCCTGAACCTCGTCCGACCACATCTATTTCTGGGCCACGGGGCCCTGACAGAGCACAATTTGATTCATAAATTACCCAGCTCAAGGTGTGTGGATGGATTCTCCTTCAGCAGATTTGAAAGTCATTTACTATAGAACTTGTAGCCATCCTGTGGGAGGCAAGGGCATATGGCCTAGGGGCCCAGCCCCCATCTCTTTCTTGCGGAAAAGGCTCAGTAAGACAGGTAGCCACTGCACTGTGCCAACTCTGACTTTCAGTCACCCAGGCAGTGGGCAACAGTGTGACACCCGCCCTATTTAGCAAGTTAGAAAACAGCACATCACTTGTGCAGAGCCAAGTGCCTAGGAAGGGTGGTGTTGAGATTTGAACTCTCGCCTCTGTATGCCAGAACTGGCTATGTATGGTCCTGAGAACAGCAGGGAATGGACTGAATGACAAGGCTCTGGGAAACAGGGTAGGAAGGAAAGGGAAGAGGCACATGTTTCCTAGTCCTATACACCTTAGAGTGCACCTCTAACTAGCATGGCAACCCCTGTGTCACAATCTAACAGCATCCAGTTCTGGCTGTTGCAAAGTTTCTCATGCCCAGGGTACCTGCTTGCCATCCTCCATGCATACCTGACTTGGGCTCAACATCTCACAGTATTCAAAGTGTGTTAGATATCTTGTCATTGAACCACCACCCACCTACTCTCAATGAAGAAACAGAAGCTCAAAGAGGCCCACAAGCCAGAAAACCTGACTTGAACCTCCAAGCTCACATCCAGTCCCTTAAAGTGCTTCAGCTGGTTTCATACTTGTGCCTATCCCTTCCTGGGGGATTAAGAGCATCTTCTGAATCAGGTAATGGGTATCCTGGGGGTGATACCCACCCCGCCTTTACCCATACACAAAGGATGTGGAAGGTGGTCTCTGGCACCCACATTCTCCTAGAAGCCCTTTCCCCAAGGCTGTCATCATGGTTTTCCCATGTCCCCATTACATACTCAGTGAGGCACTGGAGGACTGGGGACATGCCACTGGGGATGACAGACAGTGTGTCCCCTTCTAGGGCCTCCTCTCCTTGGGTATCTGTTGTCTGTCCCCTTTAATTTCCTAAGCGTCTCCCCTCCTCCTTCCTTCGCACTCCCCGTCTCCCTCTGGGACAAGGCCTTTCAGATCATCAAATAGCAAGTGCTGCTTATGCGAGGCCTGAGATGGCTTTATCTGAGCTGTAAATCTCCCTGAGGCCCAACCTGTCCTAGCACCGAGCTGCCAGAGTTATGTGGGCCTGCAGCTAGCTGAGCGCACAGCCTCTGGGGGGCCTGTCTCCCACCACAGCCCCAGGAGGAGCCCCAGCTGAGGGTGACAGGGGCATTCTGCACACCTGCACTGGGCCCAAAGGGAAAAGGGGACCAGTGAGTCCCTGCAGCTCCCACAACTTCCTCCTCCAAGTGAGGATTGTCCCACACAGGAAAACCTCGCCTTGGTAGCCCATGAGACTGTTTGGGCTCCAAGAGACCAGGTTTTAATCCCAGTGTGTCCATTGGTCACATGTCCTTGATGTGTTACATCACCTGAGTGAGCCTCAGTTTCCTTATCTGATAAACTGAGTGGTCATGCTAGTCTGATGGGGCACACTGACAATCTAGTCAGATGGATTGTGGGAACAAACACACAGAGCTCTTTGTCGTGAGTCAGCACATATGACGAAGAGACAAAATTGTGCCCCATGTAGCCTTGAGTCCCAGCTCTGCTCTTTGCCCACATGTGACTTCAGTAAGTCACCTGTTCACTCTGTACCACAAGCATGACAGTCATGATGATGGGGGCGTGTGACAATGCCACCCCATCTGGAGTATCTGTAAAATGTGGTTGACTGATACACATACAGTGCTTAGAACCTTGCCAGGCACACGTGGGCCAGTGACACACTCTGTCACTCATTAATGCCCCTTTTTCCCTCATGTCGCCGGTCCCTGTCATCTCTTGCAGGCCCTCCTACTTCCCGCCTGGGACACCACCCCACCCCAGCTAATCGAGGATTTCTTACTGCCCACTGTCATCAGATATGAGCCAGACCACATACCTAGTGTTCACAGCTGCTGCCTGCTGGTGTCGGCCTCTCTTGGCATCCTCCACCCTCCTAGCTCCCCTGGGAAGTACTGATACCCATCCCCCTTTGCTCCTGCTTGGCTCCCCAGGAGACATTTGGCTCTCTGCTATATTAACTCTGTCCCCAACCTGTTACAGGAGCTCCCTGTCCCCCAGGCCCAGCAGTGGCCCTTGGCAGGCCCAGTCCCACTTCCTCTGTGTGAATCCATCCTCTGGGAGCCATATAAAGGCAAAGGCCTTGCCTTCTCCCCTTCACCCTGGTGATGGAGCCCAGGCTAAGGCAGGACTACCCATGCCCTCAGTATCAAACTCAGAAACTGTGACCAGTATAGTAACAGAAGTCAATCTGCAAAGCCCCCCGGAGGCACACACCATCAAACAGGAGGGACTTTTCATTCAGCAGTGTAGTACACAGATTATTTAAAAATGTGCCTTTCTATAGTATAGAATTCAATGGCCTTGTTTACACTCAAGCTGTGAACCAGCAGCTGGGTTTAGTGGCCAAACTTTGGAGATTACTGTCAAAGAAACTCATATTGATTGACTTTCTTTTTTTAAGGCAAATGTCAATCATATAAGTCAAGAGGAAAAACATTAAAGTGACTCTGAATCTACAGTTCCCAAAAGGGGGAATTTTGTGGGCATCTGTCTTGGTGACTGTTACATCTGAGAAGGGTGCTGTCCAGGGGGTGGAGTTAGGGCTCCTGGGAGCATCCTACAAGCACAGGATAGTCCCCTCCACCTCAGGTTAGTGGTGCCCAGGCCCCGCCCAACACAGGCCCCCCAGAGATGAGGGGTGTTAA